TTCTTATTTCGTCTTTTCAGAGCCAGCTACAGGCGAATGACGCAGCGTCGACAGCCGTGGGGTGGACCTCTGTGGAATACAGATAGCAGCGACGAGGTTCTCGGTCATTGCCAAGGGCAAGCCAGTGTCGCGGCAAAGCTTGGGGCGTTGGACGCAAGGATCTGCAGAAGCAGCGCCATGACAGCGAACGCAGGCCACGCGCGATCAAAACCCGTCGCGGACAAACACCGACAGAGACGATCAAGAAGCGTGAGAGCGTTGACGACGCGCTGTCGTCATTGCAGAGCGGCAGAAGCGTCGAAAGCACCTCAACGAGACGACTGTAGCGACAATAAGCGTGTCAGCCGGGCACGCCTGCAGCTTGAGCTCTGCATCGCGCTTGAATAGTCGCTTGTCGACCATCTCGGGGAGCGCGGCGGGCGAGGACATCCATCTACGAGCTAAGTCGATAGAAGCATAAGCAGCTTTGCGTTGGCTGGAGCTGCACTGGCCACTGCCGAGCGCGGGCGTGGCCGGCACATATAAGTCGAGCTTCTGGGGGAGCGGCGCAGCCTGTGGGACATCCAAAGGGAGAGCTGTCCCTAATGAGCGCGCCGTAGCCGTCTTGGATCGCGCATTTTCACTGTGCGATGGCGACGGCTGCGACATGAGCTATACGCCGTCGTTGAGCCATCTTCCTCGACATCCTAGGTGCATACAGAGGTCCTCGTCGTCCGTGCGCTTCTCGTATTATTGTTGATGCCGGCCGAGAGGGGCGAGTCTTGCGTCGACATATGGCCAAACGAATCGATCTGCCACCCGATGCGTGACTTGACGCTAGTTGCAGGATTTTGATAGGCATGACGAAGCAAACGCAAGGTGCAAGGTACCCAAACTCGTGGAGCTAGAAGGAGGGGCCAAGCGCCGTCTGGTCGATGATGACCGAGTATTGGCAGGACGCTTCGCTGTGCAGGACCCAGCCGCCGTTGATCGACAAGTTGAAGCAGCCTTCTTTCACGAGCTTTGACGATCGTCGTCATCTCGTGCGTCTGCTCGCGCCACGTACGGCCGCTTAGGCCAAGGTCGCCAGTGATCGAGTGCACGTACCAGCGCTGGAAGAACGCCTGCTCGTCGTACACTAAGTGCCAGGTCGGGTTCTCGAGGGTGCAGTCGACCTCCTGCGAGTAGTGCATGGTGAGGAGCCAGCCCGGGTCGTCGTGCATGTGGGGCACGAGGTGCACGTTGAGCTTCGCGCCCAATGTGTCCGCGCTCGTTTTGTAGTGGCTGCCCACCGGGCCCGTCGGCTGCCAGGCGCCGCACGACAGCAGCTGCTTGGCGGTCGCCAGCGCCAGCGTCGTCGCAACGAGGTGGAGTCCCTTCGTCCGACGATGCCAAACGGAAGATCGTTTGCCTCTATAAGATGATGCCTTCTGGGGTCGTCACTGTATACAAAACACAAGTGCTCGAATGCGAGCGCAGTTGTAGTATGTAATTTCAGAGGATTTCCCGTCTTTTGGACCGTATCCGGATGCATCTTGGTTCATCGCGCGCAGCGTCATCCCATCCCACAAAGGTTGCCACGAGAACACGAGAAGGGAGCTCCCTGCTGGATGAGGCAAAGCCGTGCAACGTATTGGCGCTTCCTCTCAGTAGGTAACCAGTCTCACTAACTGGAGTCCGCACGCTTGCAGCATGAACTGGGAACGTGGCAAGGTGGCGATCACAATATTTTACAGTGACAGAAGACAAAAACTACGACGTGCCAACGTGGTCATTTGCTTCTTAACGTTTTACGAGCACTTGGTATCTTGAGTCAAGCACTGCGCGCGTTCTAGGACGGCAGCGGCAACGCAGCGTTACTTGATCTGCTCCTCAAAGTGGCTTCTATCACTGTGCAAATTATGGGCGATTCCATTTCAAACTCGATGTTGTCGACAAGTGGCATCGACGCCTTGCCGTGGCGGCTATAAGATGGCACTACGATCTTAGTTTGGAGTGCGCCGTGCCTCTCAGATGACACTACGATCTTCATTTGGCGCGCATCTTAGATCACGTCTCGCTACCGCTGTACGCCTCGGACGTCGACGCG